CCTACACAACAGAGGATCACATACGTACTAAGATTCTAAAAAGAATTCAGCAGTAAAAGCTAGAATGACTAAGATAACATAACAGCATGCATAGGTGTCGTAAGAATGACATAGAAGGGTAGTGGCCTTGTCCTCAATATTTCTCGTCTTGTCTGAGCGCCTCCTGTCAGCCTCGACCGAGCACCATGCCTTCGATAGAGTTGCAGAGTTCTGATGGAGAGATATTTGAAGTTGATGTAGAAATTGCCAAATGATCTGTGACCATCAAGACCATGCTGGAAGATTTGTGAATGGATGATGAGGGAGATGATGATTCTGTTCCTTTACCAAATGTTAATGCAGCAATTCTAAAAAAGGTCATTCAGTGGCGAACCCATCACAAGGATGACCCTCCTCCTCCTGAGGATGATGAGAACAAAGAAAAGCAGACAGATGATATTCCTGTTTGGGACCAAGAATTCCTGAAAGTTGACCAAGGAACACTTTTTGAACTTATTCTAGCTGCAAACTATTTAGACATCAAAGGTTTACTTGATGTCATGTGCAAGACTGTGGTCAGTATGATTAAGGGGAAAACTCACGAGGAGATTCATAAAACCTTCAGTATCAAAAACGACTTTACTGAAAAGGAAGAAGCCCAGGTACTCAAAGAGAACCAGTTATGTGAAGAGAAGTGAAGTACTGTGACTGACACTGTAACACTAGAAGGGTTTGTCTAAATGCTAGTTGCACTGCTTTGCCTATAATTGTTAATATTAGAGAACAGTAGACAAACAGCCTTGTCCTCATTGCATATATAGTTCTAGTACAGATCTGACCTATGGCTGAGTTTCTTCTATGAGCAGAAGTTGTGTGTGTGTGTGTGTGTGTGTGTGTGTGTGTGTTTGTGAGTGTGTGTTTTCTCATTACTCTGAACTTTGAGTTCTCTGTGGGGAAAAAAAAAAGAATGACATAGAAGAATATAAGAAAAGTAAGGTATTAAGATTTGTCATTCCTAAAAAGATTTTTTTGCATCAAGTTGCTATAATGTTAGCTAATTTAGAATCAAAAGAATTCTTTTGTCTAACAAATTCTGATAAGATTATAAATACACATATTATTAAGAATTGAATAATAGCTGCAGCGGTTCCTAAGCCTGGGAAAATTTTTCTCAGGTTTAGTCTAATTTGCAAGTGATCTCACTAACTGCCAAAAGTTAATAATATACTGCTCAAAGTGTGGTGATTTGCCTGGACTGACTCACATATTATCTAGAACATCATAAAACCGAAAACTACTGCCAGCCCAAGAACATGTTGCTATATTATGCTTGCTTAAGCTGAAATGATCTACAGAATTCTAGCAATAGGGATATGGGATTGGTAATAAAATCTATTCTATCAAGACTTAACCTGTATGTAACCTCTGTATCTCTTGAGAAACGACAAATGTCTTTAAAATCTGTACAGATAAATAAATTTTCTGATTGTTAGTGAGATTTGCCAAGCCTTCCTGATGGGGCAATGTCCTTTTGTATGCTGTATGTGTTTCTATTATTGTTGATGAGTAAATGTCGACTGGCCAGTAGTCAGGCAGGAAATATAATTGGGGCTACCAGACTAGGAGATTTCTGGGAAGAGGAAAGGCAAAGAGAAGCAGCCAGGCAGATACCATATAGCTACCGGCAAGACAAGACACTGGGCATTCTCTGGTAAGTTAAAGTCACATTGAAATACATAGATAAATAGATATGGCTTAGAAAGAACTAGCCAATAAGAAACCCACATAAAACTTGACAAAAGTTTAAAAAGGATTTTGAACAAAAGAATAAAGTCAAGCATGGCTTCTTGGTAGCAGCATTTTCTTGGGTGGGCTCTGTTTACCTTTAAGAGACTCATCATTAGGAGCAAACACCGTGCAGCTCCTTTAAGAGGCTCTGCTACCTAACAATTAAATGCCAGCAGCATGCTTCCTGGTGGTGGCATGGACCTAGAAACTAGAGCTGTAGCAATAAATATGGCTCCTACCAGTACTCCACTACAAGCAACTCTCATAAAGCCAAGGAATAAGGCAGGGCCCACTGCCACTTTAATTTTACCCATACTGTTCAGCAGATAATACTCACATAATCCGATGTAGGACACGGAAGAAGTAAGAGTTCTGGACCCTTTTCTCTGGTAAGAGAAGAACACGTGGAAATACTCAGATTAGCAGTTATGGGTTAATAATTGAGTCAGAGGTAGCCAACAAGAAACCAAGCAAAATGGCCAACAACTTCATAATTTAAAAAAAAAAGACTCATGTAAGCAAAAAAGATAGAGATATACAGTAAAGACTGATTCAGATAAAGAAAAATCTCTAAAGGGTTTACAGTGTGTTTATAAATATATGAAGGCTTGGGAGAGGAAAGAAAAAGGATAAAGTCCTTAAAAAAGAAATAGAATAGCTAGATGGTGGTGGCGCACGCCTTTAATCCCAGCACTCGGGAGGCAGAGGCAGGCGGATCTCTGTGAGTTCGAGGCCAGCCTGGTCTAGAGAATGAGTTCTAGGACAACCAAAAATACACAGAGAAACCCTGTCTCAAAAAACAAAAAGAGCTGGGCGTTGGTGGTGCACGCCTTTAATCCCAGCACTCGGGAGGCAGAGGCAGGCAGATCTCTGTGAGTTCGAGGCCAGCCTCGTCTACAGAGCGAGTTCCAGGACAGCCTCCAAAGCCACAGAGAAACCCTGTCTCGAAAAACCAAAAAAAAAAAAACAAAAAACAAAAAACAAAAAACAAAAAGAATAAAAATTAAAAGTAACAGAAATAGAGTAATTTTAAAAAGCCACGTAAAGATGGAAAATACACAGAGAATCTGATGCTGTATGTTATTGTGTTGCCTTTGAATTGTTTGACTGCTGAGAAAGAAGCAACAGTGGCTAAAAGACACTATAAATGCTGCTGAATTAATGTAACCTATATATTTTGAAAATGCCTTGACTTCAAAATTTAAGTCTAAGGACATGTTACTCTGGAAAAGAGATTTTAGTTCTGTTTCCACAGAAGATGAAAAGCTGTGGATTCCTTCCAGACTAATATGGTTTGATCAAGCAAGACCCCCTGAAGCAGTGGCCCAGGTGATCCAACATCCAAAACAGCTGAGATATTGGAGCCTCACAGACCACTACAGCCAGGATTTGATTTGGCCATGGTTCTGGGTTTTCTCATTATCCTCTTTGGACTGACAGCATCCCCAAACAGGAGGAAGCAGTTTGGAGATAACTACACCCACATTTTCAAATATTGTTTATAAATGTTTGTTTTCATTTAAATGGGTTGGTTATAAATGGTTAATGATCACAGTAGATCTCTTTCTTTAAAAAAAAGGGAATATGATATAGAAATGAATACTTTGCATTAGTATGATTTTGGTTTGATACAAATTTAAGGTCAATTTTGTTATACATATATTTCTACTCTTGCTTAGGTATCATGTTCATACATATCTTTTACAAATGTAGTGTATAATTAAATACAGATTATAATCACCTATAATAGTCAAAACTTACAGTTGTGTTAGATTTTCTAGATATACAGAGATATACATTTCAAATGAATAGTTATTCTTCAAAACCTTTCATAGACCTACAGAATATGACATTTAAAGTGGTTTATTAGGGTTTTTCATGACAATAAGACACAACTGCTCCTGAAATACCAATTATGTCAGAGAGGAAGATGGACATTGAAGAAAATCTATAGAGTTTGTCTTCAATTTGGCAAAACTGGCCTATTGAACAAAAAACTGCTCTTATCTGGACTGCTTGACAGCATGCTATATAAAATGAACATATAGGACCCACAGGAAAGTGACTGCTGAACTTGTAAAAACAAGGTGGGACAGTCCTGCAGGGTTCCTGCTTCATGGAAGAGTCTGCCAGACATTCTGTAGGACGCATAGAAAAATGACTGACAAACTGCCAATATAGGTAGACAGCTTCAAATTTCCTGCTTCACTGAGAAATCTGTCAAAGATGCTAGGCCTATAGGTCAAAGATGGATGCCCCAACGTTGTAGAGGAACTTTGGGTGACTGTGCAGGCAGTGAGATGCCTCTATCAATATTAGCCTTCTGAGATGTTTGATGGTGTTGAAAACAGATAGTTATGATTATAGTTTTCCTTAGTAATGATAAAAGATAAGTTACATATAAAGCTCAAAAAGATTGGATAAATGATAGAATTTTTTCTTTAAATTTTGCCAAATGTAAGTGGGGTAAATATTGTTAACTATAGTTCTTGCTTTATAACTGTTTTGTTTTATATATTTTTTATGATGTTAAAGTCAAAACCTTCCTTTTTATTAGGACAGAAAACAGGAGATGATGGGGGAGGTCCTTCTGTATGCTGTGAATATATGTTTCTCTTATTGGTTGATGAATAAATGCTGATTTGCCAGTAGCCAGCCAGGAAGTATAGGCAAGGTTCCCAGACTAGGAGAATTCTGAGAAAAGGAAAGGCATAGAGAAGCCACCAGGCAGACACCATGTAGCTACCAGTAAGATAGGATGCTGGACATTCTCTGGTAAGCCAAAACCACAGGGAGATACACAGATTAATAGATATGGGTTAATAATTAAGAGAGAGCTAGCTAATAAGAAATCTGAGCCATTGGCCAAGCTGTTATAATATATATAATATAAGCCTCTGTGTATTTATTTGGGACTAAGTGCAGTGGGACCAGGCAAAAAAGAAACTCCATCTACAAATGGCACTCCCAACATGATTGTTAGTCAGTTAGATTTGCAAAGTCTTCCCATCTTTCTCAAGCTTTCCCTCACCTGATCTTACATCCTCTCTGGAACCTCTCAACAAACAGTCAGTGAGTTCAAGCTGTGTTTCAGCAAGAGAGGAAGAAGGAAGGGGATGAAAGAGAGTAACTGGAAGGAATGACCAAAATTCATTATATATTCATACACTTATGAAACTATCAAAGAACTGAAAAATGAAAAAAATGCTACCTCGCTTTATTTTTCTTTCCAGAATTGTACCATGCCAAACTACAAATTGATTTATTTTAATATGAGGGGGAGAGCAGAAATTATTCGTTATATATTCGCTTACTTGGACATAAAGTATGAAGATCACAGAATAGAACAAGTCAACTGGCCCCAAATCAAACCAAGTAAGTAGCATAAATCGTTCAGATTTTGCTGGGAGAATGTGTTAAGGGTTTTCATCCTTCTTCTTGAAAATGCAAGCCCTGTCCTACAGAGCTTCACGTTGAGAAACAGCAGTTCACATAAAGTCAGCAGATCCCTACTGCTCTCTAGGCTTGCTCGGGTCTTTCTCTTCTCCATTTATGACTCAGAGACATAGAAACAGCTGGGAAACTGACCTCAGTTTGAATACCACCTCAACCAAGAGGTAGTTTACATGCCAATAAGCTAGTTTACATAAACTTCCCCCTACATCATTTCCTTCTTTATAAAATGAGACCAAGACCGAGGCTAACACCCATCTCTCAGGGTTCAGTGCTTTAAGCCTGGTAAGCATGTTACATTTTCAGTCTGGTGTTCCCTTTCCAGTTCCGCGTGTCACCTCTCGCTTGTTTACACATGTTCTTCAAATGAATCCCATTAGTTCATGTCCATTTTATTCTGGACTACGTCTTGGTCACAGAACCTCTGGGTTTTGAGCATCACTTGGTTTACTCACTAGCTCAGTAATCAAAGCTGTGCTTTTTCCCCAAAGTGAAAGAAGTTTAAAAAAAAAAAAGAAAAAAATTAAAGTAGTCTCTCCACTATTGCTTAGTTTGCCAGTTGGTGTCATCCTTGTAGATCTCTGGAAATCCCTCAAACCTAGAATGACTCCCTCTACTATAGTATCTCTCATCCTGCTCTCCTCCATTCTTCCCCCAACTCAACCTTACTGCTCAACCTTACTGCTCCCCCATATTTTCCTCTCCTCCCCTGTTCTCCCACTCTCATTTTCCTGGTTCCCTCTCCTCTCCCCCCATGTTCCCAATCTGCTCACGAGATCTTGGCTCATTCCCCTTTTCTGGGGTGTAGTGCATATCTCTCTTGGGAATCTCCCTGTTTTCCAAACTCACTGGCAATGGGATTGTAGGGTGGCACTCCCCTGATCCATGTCTAGAATCCATACATGAGTGAGTACATATGTATGTCTTTTTGTGACTGGTTTACCTCACTCAGGATGGTTTCTTCTAGTGCCATCCCTTTGCCTGCAAATTTCAACATTCCATTGGGATTTTTTTTTCCCACTGAGTAGTACTCCATTGTGTAAGTGTACCACATTTTCTCTATCCACTCTTCAGTTGTGGGGCATCTAGGTTGCTTACAGGATCTGGCTATTACAAATAGTGTTGCTATGAACATAGTGGAACAGACATCCTTGTCGTATGCATGGGCATCTTTTGGGTATATGCCTAAGAGTAGAATTGCTGGGTGTTGTGGTAGAATGAGTCCCATTTTCCTGAGGAATCTCCATACTGATTTCCAAAGTGGCTGTATGAGTCAGCACTCCAGTATAAGTTGTCATTGGTGTTTTTGATTTTAGCCATTCTGACAGGAGTAAGATGATATCTCAGAGTTGTTTTGATTTGCGTTTCCCCAATGGCTAAGGATGTTAAGCACTTTATTAAGTGCCTCTCAGCCATTTTAGACTCTTCTATTGAGAATTCTCTATTTAGTTCTGTAGACCACTTTTTAATTGGATCCCTTTGATGTTTTGGAGAGTAGCTTCTTGAGTTCTTTGCAAATTTTGGAGATCAGCCCTCTGTCAGATGTGGGGTTAGTGAATATCTTTTCCCATTCTGTGGGCTGCCTTTTTGTCTTGCTGACTGTGTCCTCTGCCTTACAGAATCTTCTCAGTTTCAGGAGGTCCCATTTATTAATGGTCAATCTCAGTGTCTGTGCTGCTGGTGTTACCTTCAGGAAGCGAGCTCCTGTACCAACTCGTTGAAGAGTATCTCCCACTTTCTCTTCTAACAGGTTCAGTGTAGCTGGGTTTGTGTTGAGGTCTTTGATCCATTTGGTCTTACGTTTTGTGCCTGGTGATAGACATGGATCTATCAGCAGTCTTCTACATGCCAATATCCAGTTATGCCAGAACCATTTGTTGAAGATGCTTTCTTTTTTTCCATTGTATGGTTTAGCTTCTTTGTCAAAAACCAGGTGTTCGTAGGTGTGTGGGTTAATTTGATTCCATTGTGTCATGCATGCTGCTCAGCCTGAGTCCGAGACTGTGGCGAGGGTATTGGGGATTGACAACACCGAAGGCTCCTCAAGAAGGCTCTCTTTTATTCCTCCCCTGGCTGGTTATTATATACCCTGACACCAGAGGGGTGGTGGGTGGCTAGAAAGAGGCTGTTAGTCTTTGGAAAAGGTGGAGGCCAGGGCAGTTCCTGTGGGCCAGCCCTTTTCAGGAACTTATTGCCCCGGGCATTGTATTGTTTTTAGTAAACATGTTTTTAGTAAACATTGTCTTATAGCTGCCTACTCCCAGGCCGATGGGGAAATGGGTCTCTGCTCAAGGTCTAGTGTCCCCACACCATTGGTCTACCTGTCTATTTTTGTGCCAATACCAAGCTGTTTTCAGGACTATAGCTCTATAATAGAGCTTGAAGTCAGGGATGGTGATGCCTCTGGACGTTGCTTTGTTGTACAGGGTTGTATTGGGTATCCTAGGTCTTTTGTTTTTCCATATAAAGTTGAGAATTGTTCTTTCAAGGTTTGTGAAGAATTGTGCTTGATGGGGATTGCATTGAGTCTGTAGATTGAGTCATTAAAGAAATAAATTAAAGAAGACACCAGAAAATGGAAAGATCTCCCATATTCTTGGATAGGTAGGATCAATGTAGAAATTGTCCCTTTAAAGAAGAAATCTTTTGAAGGGTTTGATAGAGCTCAAACAATGCAGTGCTTTTTATTTTCAAACACAATTATTTATTGATCCTTTGGTAATTTCATAACATGAACCCCAATCCTGCTCAGTTCTCAGTCCCTCCATATCAACCCCTCATCCCTACAACATGCCCCCAAAAGAACTGTCTCCAAAAAAATTAATTCAAAGAAGACAAAGAAACAAGCAAACAAACAAACCCACCTTGCTCTATCTTTCCAGCCTCTCCAACCCTTCTTCATTCACCCCAGTGGCATCAGGAGCTGTGGTGTGTCACACACTTTTTGTCCAATCAGTCCCACCCAAAAAATACTCATTGGCCTGGTTCAAGGCCTCTAGCACACCATGATCACTAGACCAAAACTCCCCTTGGATATCCTTCTGTTGCCCCAGCCATGGAGATCCTGCAGTTGAAATCTGACGACCTTACTAAACCCTGACCTTCATTGTCCCTGGGATAGCTGGTCCCACCCCTTGATGGAACTGATCCCCCTTCCTGATACGCGCACACACACACACACACAAACACAAACACTCACACACACACCCATGGGAGAGCTGGCCTGGGGAGAGATGGCCCCACCCCTCACCACTGGGTTAGGAGAGCTGGCCCAGATGATATAGGCCTAGGCAACCTGACTCTGTCCCTCACCTGAGGGAGGTGGTCCCAATGGCCTGGACTGACCAGCTCAACTACCATCCAAACCCACAACCTGGGCTTTGGGTTGGCCCACTGTCCTAGTTGGGGGTTTATGTTGCTGTGACAAAAACAACATGATCAAAAATTAAGTTGGGGAGGAAAACATTTATTAGGTTTACACTTCAGAATTGTGTTCATCACTGAAGGGCAGAATCCCAGAAATGGGAGCTGATGCAGAGGTCATGGAGGGGAGTTGTTTACTGGCTTGCTTCCCCTGGCGTATTCAGACTGCTTTTGTATAGAAACTAGGACCAGCAGCCTAGGGATGGCACCATCCACCATGGGCTGGACCCTCCCCCATTGATCACTAATAGAGAAAATGCCTTACAGCTGCATCTCAAGGAGGCATTTCCTCAGCTGAGGCTCCTTCCTCTGATGACTTTATAGCTTGTATCAAGTCGACACACAAAACCACCCAGTATACCCATCCCTAACATCTACATCATCTATGACCTGCTGGAATCCGTGAAGGGACTCATCCTGTGGAACAATAACCCCATGATGTCTGTGACTTGGGGCAATAATATAGTGTTTCTGAAAGTAAGTATATTTTTAAGTTTATAAATATGTATGTATGCATTCTATATTTAAGACTTTCACGACTTTATATGATACCTTGTTTCTATTGTTCTGGCTTCTCTCAACCTTCTTTGGTTCTGCTCTGAAGTTGACTCTTCACTTGTTCTGTTTTAGCTATTCCGTTTGGCAAAATCCCTGTTTTGGAGGTGGGAGGACTTACGCTTCACCAGAGTCTGGCAATAGCAAGATATTTGACTAAAAACACAGGTAATATACTTATGCTAGTTAATGTTTTGAATAACTGAAAAAAATCATGAGGTTTCTTTGATATTTGTTTGATAACTGCATTGTTTAGCTATGATACAATTAGGAATGGCTCTGAAGATTACAACATTATAAATGTACCATCTACATCAGTAGAGCTTTCTATGAATGCTTTAGATAGCTAATTTATTTTGTTATTTTATATTTTTATATACAGGGCCTTCCTATATAGTTTTGGTTTAGCTGGTATTTGCTATGTAACCCGAAGTGTCCTTAAATCCTTGATCCTTCTTGGATGCTTAGATGGCAGGTGTATGCTACCACATCAGACCACATCATCTCACCTTATACAGTACCCTCCCACCCCCATCACCCCCACCCCCGTATCACACCAGATTGTCGTTTCTAGAATCTAGCTGGAAAATTGGATTGGCAAGTCATGCTTGTATTGAGTATTACAATTTAGGCAGAAATAGCCAGAAATACACACAGCACGTGAGGGCTGGAACTTGTTGGACTGTTGGAATTATAATTCGTTGTCTTTCATTCTGATCATGCTGAGAAGCACAGGAAGGTGGCATCCTTGCCTCCACCGGCTCTCCTCTGAGGCCTCCTTAGCCCGTGTACCATGGAGTGGGCAGAGGTCACAGAGGTGGCCCCTGCCTTCTTCTCATCATGCTCCCCCTCCTACTTCCCCTCTCCTGTTCTTCCCACTTACAAACATTTTTAGTAAAAGGACAACTTCGGGTCTCTTTGAAAGCCGTTTTCTTTTTAATTAGCTTGCTAGAATCACCATTTTCCACTCTCAGCCTTTTCATTCCATCCCACTACTACCACCTTAGAATCCAAGCATGCTGAGCACCCAAGTGACCCACAATGATTAGCCTCCCATTTTAGGAACAAAGAGTCTTGGTTCAGCATTAAGAGTATTTGTTGCTCTTGCAGCTGACCTGGTTTCGGGTCCCAGCATCCACAACTATCTGCAACTCCAGTTCCAGGGGATCTGATAATGACTTTTGATCTCTGTGGGCACCAGGCTCACACATGGTAAACATACTTACATACATGAGGGTGAACTAACACCCATAAGATACATTTTAAAAATTTAGGCACACAGAAACTAACAGATATTTCAACAATGAAGGTTTGGGAAGAGTCAGAGGAGATGGAGTATGTCTCTGGAAGTTGGGCTTAGAAGAGAAAAGGGTATCTGAGTCGAGCCTCAGAGGATACCTAGGGTCCCAAGACCTCCCCTCTTATGAGCATCATTCTCAGGGCTTCATGAACACACCCACTCTTCTTGCTTCCAGAAATGATTCAAGAGGGTGGAGGAGGGCCCTGAAAAGGTTGCATTACTAAGGATTTCCCAGATAGTGTTGAGATGGCAAATGGACGTCACTTAGACTCAACCAACTACAGCATTACAAGTAGAGAGAAAAAGGCACAAGAAAAACAAACAAGCAAAACTTCATATTTGCAGGGTAGAGAAGGAGGTTTACTTAGCAAAATACACTGGACCTGGTTAGGAAATCCAGGGTGTGGACTTCTCTAACAACTGTAGGTTGTCACCCAGAGAGGCAGCACACTGGGAGGTCTGACTGCAGGACAATTATTCTGGTGATAGTTCTTGATTGGCCTGACTATGGGACACACATTAGAGGGCTTTGAAATCATCCAGGTGGCATCAGAAGGAGGAGGGTGGAGACTCTGAGAAAGTATGCATAACCTTTGTAGGGCTGGGTCACAGGGAAGTGTAAAAGGGCACAGTGAGCAGGCTTTGTTATTCTCAGAGCACTGGAAATACTCACTACTCCTCCAGTCTTCTCCCTCTCTGTTCTTTGTAAAGACTCCCCTCAGTTTGCAATACCTCTTGCCCTATCAGGTTTGCCAGCCATAGGATTCAGGCACGTAAGGAGTCTCTCTCAATACACACTGGGGCTCCCATGGGACTGATTCGTAGGAGAAGCCATGCCCTCCTGGAATGCAAAAAGAACAGTTGTTTGAGGTGTGATGTCTGTGTAATTTGATGGCAGAAGTTCAGGAGGGAAAATAGCTCCACATATTTGCAAAGGGGCCTGAGAGTTGCTTGCAGGTTAGGACAATGAATGTCCACAGAGCCCTTAACTGCACAAAAATAACAGCTAAATCCTGGAACACAGATGTCAAACCTGGACTGAGAGACAGTGAGGGGCCTGTGGCGTGCTTCTTCAGGTTAATGAGGAGACTCCATCCTTGGAAATCACACGGGGAGTATGTGAGACAGACACGTTCCTTCACCCTGAGCAGCTTCCCTAAGGCTTTGTTTATATGAGCCATGCATTGTCGTCATCCCTGGAGTTCCTTGTGCTTTGTAATTTAATACAGTTATACAAAAGCAGTCAATTTTACAAGATTTTCATACTGAGTCATTTCCAATTGACACCACTGAAGAAAAGTTTAGAAAGATCAACAGCTTAAACAAAATTAATTAGAAATTAATAGAAAAAAATATTAACAAATGAGTGAAAAAAATCTCCAGCCACTGTTTACTTTTTTTTTCTATTGAAGGCTTTGAAGATCTTGTAAACTGGGGCTGGAGAGATGGCTCAGCAATTAAGAGCACTGGATGTTCTTCCAGAAAAACCCAGGCTGGGTTCCCAGTACCCATAAGGCAGCTCACAACTGTGTGTAACTCTAGTTCCGGGGAATGCAATGCCCTCTTCTGAATGGCTGGCATGTGGTGTCCTTGCATGCAAGCAGGCAAAACACTCAATCACATAAAATTTAAAATAAAAAAAAAAAGTTGTCTTAAGGATCTTGCAAGGTTTTGTGATTCTTTTTCTCTCTTTTCCCGATTTCTTTTTTTGTTAAACTCTGGAGTCTCTTGAGCCTGGCTTTCCTCTTTAAGGAAATGTTTCAATTTGAAGGGAATGTAGCTACTAGGAAGAACATGCCATCCAACAAACAGAAACAAGGCATCAAAGCCTCAGACGGTTTAACCACAGCTTGTATCTCACTATCAGCAGCCCCAGCTCCAGGGTTCAGCTGCAGCTGCCATGGTTATCTAGCTTCAACGTGAGATGCTTAACAGTCCCAAGACTGAGTCCTGTCTGGCTCTCAGCCAAGGCATTATGTTGTCCCAGGGTTAAGACATTCTATCATTTTTAAAATTGAAACTTTATGGTAAAAGCTGGAACCAGAATTTTTTTTTTTTTTTTTTTGGTTTTTACGAGACAGGGTTTCTCTGTATTGTTTTGGAGGCTGTCGATCTAGCCTGGTCTTGAACTCACAGAGATCCGCCTGCCTCTGCCTCCCGAGTGCTGGGATTAAAGGTGTGTGCCACCACCGCCCGGCTTGGAACCAGATTTTTCCCAGACGTTTTTCAAGATATACAAAGAAGAATGGGGAATGAACTTCTAGAATTTTCTCCTTGCTCCACCACCAACCTCTGTCTTCTGCCTCACAACCATTTCACACTGTTTGCATTTTTTAAAAGTATGAATATGTTGCCTAGTTGGCACATTAATAGTAAGTTAAATTGTGCATGTCAGTAGACACCAAATGGTCTCTTTCTATTCCATAGATCTGGCTGGGAAGACAGAGTTGGAGCAATGTCAAGCTGATGGTATTGTGGACACACTGGATGATTTCATGTCACTTTTTCCATGGACGGAGAAAAATCAGGATGTAAAAGTAATGTGATAAACTTACTATTGTAACTATGGGTAACCTTGTATCACCTCCAGAAATTACATTACAGTGCTTTAAAATTTTGTTTTTAATCTATGTAATATGTACTTTGAAAAAGGAAGTTATACTAAATTATAAGGCAAGGTCAATGATTTCCTGCCATACTCAATGCTAACCCTGCCTCAAATACTTTTTGAAAATGTCTATGCATATGAATCTTTGAGAATGTAGGTGTGGCACGTACATGCAGGATCCTGCAGAGGTCAGAAGATGGTGTGGATTCCCTGGAACCCAGAGTTCCAGAAGGTTAGGAGCTGCCTTATGAGTGCTGGGAAACAAACCTACGGCCTCTGTGGGACCAGCGAATGCTGTCAGCCAAGAGCCACCCCCCAGCCCAACAGATCCAGTTTTTAATGCTTTCTGCTGTTTTCTGGGGACAAACACACTTTCCTTTCTTCCATTCTTTTCTTCTCCTGTTAAAAGCTTGTGTGCACATGGGTAATGTTGTACATACCCATGAAGTCATCCCATGGATATGAGGTCAGAGGACAACCTGTGGGAGTCAGCTCTCCTTCTACTACATAGGTGCCTGGGATTGAACTCAAATCATTGCATTTGGTGGCAAAATGTTTTTACCTACTGAACCATCTCACCAATGAGCATATGTGCTCTCTCTCTCTCTCTCTCTCTCTCCCTCTCTCTCTCTCTCGGAAATAGTATCTCATTATGCAGACTGTAGAATGTGTACCATCATATTTTGGCAGCATATAAAAATATATAGTTTGATTTAACAATTTTAAACAGTTCTTACAGACTTCTTATGGTGTCTGAAAGAATTTGTCTCTTCCTCTTTTTATTAGTCTCTAACTCACTATGAAGCTGAGAATGACCTTAAACTTCTGGTCCTCCCAAGTGTTGGAATGACAGAAGTGCACCACCACACCTAACTGGGAATTTATCTCTTCTTTTGTCATATTCTCTGCTTCCTTCTCCCTAAGTTCTCAACATGGTGATATTAATATCTTTGAGCTAAATTAATACTCTACGATTATGTAGCTTTGCATATGCAAATACACACTGTACATGGTGGTGTATTTCAGTGAAGCTTCCTTTTCTGTTTCTTTCTCCAGTCAGGAACTGGGTTTTCACTCTTGCCTAATTCATTTTACTTTTCTCCTAGTAGAATTTCCTTCCAAGTCGATGACATCAGCCTGCCTAATCTTTCCAATGTTTCTGATGCTTTGCTGAGCAATCTGGCCTGGAGGCTGCCCCTACCCTGCAGTTCTGTGGCTTTCTCCAGTGGTTGTTCCAGGCCTTCCTGTCATAACTATCCCAGCCGGGCCTTCTTCTGGGGTTGACTCTTGTTTCCAGGGTGATGCCCACTTTCTCGTGTATGTCATTGTTTTTTTGAGCATGTCCTCTAGTACTTCGAAGATTATATCACTAAGAGAAGGTGTGATGGTGACAAGGTGAATGGACTTCTTCATTTTGTGTTACTGCTCCTGTCAGGTTTGGTTTCCCTACACGCATGGTACACTTACCATGCTGAGGTTTTCATTGACACCTTAAATGTTTCTTTTGGCCCTTTCCTGATTCAGCCTCTGTTTTTTGTTCTTGGGTTTGTGCAGCAATTCGCCAACAGCTTTACTAATCACAGGAAATCCAAAGTGTTGATGCTTTATTAGCTTGCAACTTTTTTCAATTTAATTTTCACCTGGCTTCATAGTTTTGTTGATGTCTTGATTGGTTTTGGATTTGGTTTTGTCAACTTAACACTAGTTAGAGTCATCTAAGAAGGAACCACAATTGAGAAACTGCCTTCATAAAACTGGATTGTAGGCAATGCCGTGGGGCATTTTCTTAATTAGTGATCAACGGGGAGGGCCCAACCGATTGTGGGTGTGGCCATCCCTGAGTAGGTGGTCCTGGGTTCTATAGGAAAGCAGACTGAAAAAAACATAGGAGTAAGCTAGTAAGCAGCCCTCTTCCATTATTTCAGTTTCTGCTTCAGTTCTTGCTACCAGAGTCCTGCCCTGACTTCCCTCAGTGACAGAGTTGTACACTGAAATAAGTCCTGCCCTCCCTAGGTTGTTTTTGGTCATAGTGTTTATCACAGCAATAGAAACCCTAAGAGAGTTGGGTAAGGAATTCTTTGTGGCAAGTAATGTGTCTTTAGCATTTGAGGACACTATAGGCTATGAGATGTTGACAAATTTAGAATGATGTGTATTTCTGTACATAGTGGAGCATGTCTTTAATCCCAGCACTCTGGAGGCAGAAGTAGGTTGATCTCTGTGTGTTCCAGGTGAGCCTGGTCTACATAGGAAGCTCTGGACCTGCCAAGACTACATATCGAGAGCCTATCTCACAAAATAAATGTAGAGATAAGTATAGAAATAGAAAGGAAAGAAAGAAAATGGTGAGTTTGGGCACCATCTTGTTTTTTTGTGTTTCTGAGTGCACATGTGTGCTCACATGCCTGTGTGGGCCAGAAGTCAATGTCAAGATGCTTCTTCAATCCTTTCTCAGCGTATTTTTTCAGACAGATACTCATTGAATCTGGAGCTCACCAATTCAGATAGACTGACAGGCCAACAAGCCCATACGCCTTCCCCTTTTTTGCTTCGCAGTACTTGGGCTACAGCTATGTGTTAGCCTAGTTTCTCCATGGGCATTAGGGACCTGTATTGGTTTTGAATAGGAATGGCCCCCACTGACTCATGTATTTGCATACTTGGCCCATTAGGGAGTAGCACTGTTAGGGAGTGTAGCCTTGTTGTAAGAAGTGTGACACTTTGAGAGCAGGCTTCGAGTTCTTGTATGCTCAAGCTATGTCCAGCATGGCACACAGTCTCCTTCTGCTGCCTGTAGATCAATATGTAGAGATCCCAGCTCATTCTTCAACATTGTGCCTGCCGGCATGCTGCCATGCTTCTTGCCATGACAATAATAATAAACCTCTGAAACTGAAGCCAGCCTCCATTAAATGTTCTCCTTTGTAAGAGTTGCCATGGTCATGGTGTGTCTTCACAGCAATAGAACCATGATGAAGACAGGCTTCAAGCTTGAGTCCCCATGCTTGAGCAGCAAGCATCTTTATCAAGTGAGTCATCCTTCCAGCCTAGCATCATCTGAATGGGTCCATTCAGCCTGAGGTGTCGTTTGAAAAAGTCAAAGAAATATCCTTGAATTCTTTTTAAATTTCTTCACTGGCCTCTCCCTATTTATTTATTCATTCATTTATTTATCTATTTATCATCTATTTATTTGTTTTTCTCACGAAGAACCCTGTTGTTGAGAGGCTAAGATCTTTTCTACCTCCCGTTTTTTGCTTTTGTGTTTTCAGGACATCCTCCACCTGAGCTCTAAATTTTCACCTTTTAAAATTTATCAGGTTTTTAAATAGAATATCTTTTATTTCTTGACAATTTCACACATGTATACACAGTAGCTTGAACATATCTACTGCCTCCTGCTTCACTGGACAATGCCTGACACATCTCTGGATTCTTTTTGTACAGTGCTTTGTTTTACTCATGAGGGTAGTTTGTTTATTTTATGATTGCACTGTCTTCTGCCCACTCACTCTTTGTCTATGCAAAGTTGCTTTCCTTCCAGTTTGCCATAGTCCCTGTTGGGGGTTAGGCCATCCTCTAGAATCCACGGTGGACCGAAGGATTGTGGGTCATGTGAAGCTGTGCACATGCAGATAGCTTATTGATCTTGAATGACACTTTACTTTTTGGGATTCTCCCAGTGTTCCTTGCTCCCAGTGTCTGCTGTTGTGATGGGAAGAGTGCCCAGAGAAAACTGATCTAGAGACAGTGGGAAGAGATGCATGGTGGCTTTACGATTTACTGCTGAGTGTGAATCTACCCATCTCATTCTTTTATTCTTAATACGTTTTTCATGGTACTCCCTATCCTGGAAGCTATTTTAGCCCCTTCTAGCCTCCTGTAGAGAAGGATGGGATCCTGTCCATTAACCCGAAATGAAGGAGAAGCCTCTTGAAGCTCCTTCCCCTGGGGGTTCCCACTGGTCTCAGCTCCCTGACTGCTCAGTTCCAGGCTGTATGGTGACTATACACAGGGTTAGCTTCCGGCTTTCCCACGCTGGTCTGCCCACTCACCTTTACACCTGCAAACTCTTTTGCTCTCATCCTCTCTCCTCTTTCCCACCTCCACATAGCTTTAGTCTCGGAAAGCATGTACACTACCATTGAATTGGGATGGAAATAAGTTTATGCATACATGTCATATCCATCACCTTCATCCGGCTTCTTTATTAGTGGCTTCCTTCGGGATACTTGCCACAATCACCTTAAAATGTAGTTGTCGAATGACTACTTCAACAGAAAGTGTCACCTTGACAAATAACAGGTTTTATTAGTTAACCAACTGTAGCAGTGCCCTCTAACGGCAAACACTAATCATTGCTAGGATCCTGCATTACCATATCCTACCACCAGGGGCTGCTCTCATCTCCTTGACATATGGAAAGGCGTTTATTTCATCACTATGCTGTCTTTCAAGATGAAGAAGCAGTCAGATTAGTTTGGAAGGTGCTCGGAGTCAGACAAGTGTAAGAATGTGTCCTTGGTCCACCTGCCAAAATTCCAGAACCCATGGGCTGATCACAGAGAGCTTGACTGCTACAGCAGGAGTGGAACTGCCTCAGGGTTTAGTTCCCAGGTGAGGACAGGAAGACTCAACACCTTGAGTTCCGGTGTTTAGAAGGAAAGTACTGTGAAAGGAATGAAAGCCGAGGTCACTCTCAGACAGCATGGTCTTAACTCCTCGATGTAATGTCACAGTACTAGCTGCTGCCCTAAACACTTCGTACAAATAGGTATAAATTAAAGGGACAGCCCAAGTCCAAAAGCCATAGCCCAGAGCAACCAATGTGACTCTCCACATTTTACTTAAACACCTGCATTCTGAATACTGTTTATATTGTTACGATCTTCTGGTTGGAGATATTTGGACATAACAGATTGATATAAATAAGGTGTGTCAGGGATATTAGCAGAAAGAGAGGAAGGGAGGGAGAGAACAAAGTCTTGAAAAGCTCAGCTTTGATGGCATGAATGTAAAAAGGCCTTTTAACATAATATATTTGGGCCCTGGAGTCTTATGATGACTTAAATTGCCTCTAACCACTTACATTTCCCCTTTCACGGTTCAAACCCTGTGAGTGTGAAGGACAGACACAAAGGGCCTCTCCTTTGAAGCACGTTGAGAGCTTCAGTGACATTATATACACATGACAGGGTAGAAAGTGTTCACTCAACATCAGCCATTATTAACATGTTATAGAGTTGTGTTAATTTACTCTTCTACTTTCCAGGTGTGATGTGTGTTTTACATATATTATAAGCACACACGTACATCATGCTCCCCAATATAGAAAGAGAGTGTATAAAGATTTTTGTCCAGCGTACCAAAGACCTCATTGCTAGGCAGTCTGCCACCTTCTCAGCTTGCCTTTCTCTCTACTTTCTATCTTTCTGTGGCTGAGGATCCATGACAGAGGACACATCCTAGAGGAAGAGTATCTCAGGTCTTTGGTAATAAACTAATACTCTAGCTTTGTGAGTAACACAGTGGTCGATGCTCTTACGTACCTCAAGTCAGGTTCAGAAGACATAGAAGCCCAAATTCAGGAACAAATTATGCAAAAGAAAATGTTGCAGAGACTCTGGCAATAGCTATGGGACTATGCTATCAACAAAAATTTTAGTTTTACATTATTTGGGCAGCAAAGTCAGTTGCTGCCACCTTGTGGTCAATTGGCAAATAACTGCAGTAAGATGGTAGCACATTGTTTTTGTTCATTTGGAGTCTTGCTTATGCAGGCCAGGCTGACTTGGCAGCCCTCCTGTCCCTGCCTCCTGAGTGCTGGCATTACAAGTGTGGGCTGCCACACAAGTCTCACTGAAAATATTGTCATTATATGTTCTCCAATACATGCATGACTATAACAACTGCTGATAAATCTGTATTCATTGTGAAAGGCCCATTTCCAATCTTAAAGGATTAAAGGCAATGAGTCTCTAAACTACTAGGACTGCCCTTGAATTTATTATGAGTATTTGTTATTTGTCTACCCAAATATGAAAGGCAGACATGCTCACGCTAAGGCCCCATGGGTGTCATGCATCACCATGGCCTATTATACCCATTAGGTGCCATAAGGAGGGAAGAAACACATGTCCAATCTCACAGAATGCAGCACGCCCACTTCCTTTCAGTTAAAGTCACGTAACTCTAAGGGCCCTATGCTAAAAGGGGATTTCAGGAATCTAAAAATACAATACTCTTTCATTACAATAAACTAAGATGAAAAATCATGGGGGTTTCTCATAAAACCAGATCTCGATTTACCATGACTTGCCTACGAACCTCTTCAGCACTTACCAAAGGTAGCCACATCAACACACCTCAGGGACACTTGCTCACCATTGCTTATGGTCACTGTTCAAACACAGTAGACAAATGATAGAAGCAACCTGCCTAAAATACTGGAATGAATGCAGAAAATGTGGCATACATGTGTGCATGTGTGTGTGTATGTATCATGTCTGCATATATGCATATAAAATGTTTGTATGTGAAATATAATACCACAGGCAATGGAAACACTAAGGAAACTGATGACAGCAATATTTTCAAATGAGTGATAGGGATGGTAAGATGGTTCAGCTTTCTGCTATGCCTGAAGACCTGGGTTTCATTCCTAGGACCCACAACCTCCTGGTTTCCAAACAAGCTCTGTGGCACATGGATGCATACATGCTGCACACAAAAAAATAAATAAATGTAATTTAAAAACCTGATTAATAATTGATGGAGTTAGGCCTGGGTCTCTGTATAGGTTCCTAGCTATGAAGAAACAACTGCATGGCTACTTTAATTCCTTCTAACTTGCTGTTCAGATTACACTTAGTTTTGTCGTCATTCACAAGGATGTTCTCTCTCCTAGGATCAAACGTTCAAGAAGCTGCTCACATGTCATGCACCTCTTCTTCTGAAAGATTTGGACACATACTTAGGGGACAAAAAGTGGTTTATTGGTAACTATGTGAGTACATTTTATGTTTTAAAATACCAGCAGTTATGTTTAGATAAGATGATGAACTAAAAATTTACTGAGCAAAATGTTATTCTAACCAGGCACGATACTGCATACCTGCCATCGCAGCACATGAGAGGCTATATAGTGAGTTTGAGGCCGGCCTGGGCTACATGAACCGTCTCAAAAAGGAAAGAAGAAAGAATGGGGTGGCAGATAATGACTCAGAAGCTACAGTAGAGAGAGAAAAACCCACTAAACTTCTCTAACTCTTTACAGATATCTGACTTGAAGTCATGAAGTAACTTTATATAATTATATACAATAATTTTTAAAAGTTATCCTAAAAATCAAAAGTAAGGGAATGAATTTGAGTCATGTACCTAAGAGTACATAAAAATTGCTTTCAGCATTATTTTGCACATGTGTGTGTAAATGTGCATGTGTGGGGGGATCTGTGTGTATGATATGGAAACCAGAGGTTGACGTCAGACGTTGCTCCTCAGACACTGTCCACCTTGGTTTCAGAGACAGGATCCCTTACTGGCCTGAAACTCACCAGTCAGGCTAGTTCTGTGAGCCCCAGGGTTGTTCCTGCCTCTGCCTCCCCACATGCCTGGGCCACCACACACAGCTTCTGTACATGAATTCTAGGGTTCCACCTCAGCTCCTCACAACGCTGGCACAGGAAGCGTTTTACCGACTGCACTATCTCCCCAGCACCAATATCATACTCTGAATAACAAAAAGGACTCCAAGAACTACCTTTAATACAAGGCATGGCAATGTGACTCATGATAGGAGTCTCAGAAATACGAACCACGCCATTTTCAGTAGAACTGTTAGCACTTCTGGGCACTGCTGGTATTGTTTTGGTGATATTATGATTTGCACATGGGAGAGTAGTAATTGGAAATCGCACTGATGTTACCAAGAAGCAGGCTCTTTGGTGTGGGAGAGAAGGAGACAAAGATAATCCAGTCACCATGAACATTCCTTATACCCAGATTCTGGTCTGCTAAACACTGAATAGAACTGGGGATTCATGGACATATGACTTATCCTTGGTTTGAGAAAAGAAATATAGTGAGGGCTTTTTCCTACTAGAAGCAATTGAACTGTCATTTGTAATTTTTTTAATATTACAATCATTCAGAAATCAGCCTGAGAATGGCTACAGATGGGGCAATATAGGCTTCAATGAGAACATTAACAGCAGCAAATTCAAGCAGGTCAAAACAAATAGAGGAGTTTATGATAACTTCTGCTATATCCAAACATACAACACAGCCCCCAACCAAGCACCTTGCTTGCTGTAGAGACAGAACCCATCCTGAAAACTCTTGAGAACAGACACCAGTGAGAGGCTCAGAGGCATTTGTCCCACCTTTCCTATGCAGGCAGTACATGTTTCTCATCAGAAAAGTCATAGAGGGCTAGAATCAACATCATCACTTTCCAGCCCCAAGAAGCAACAGGCCTAGCCAATGGCCACAAGAAACCACCCGTCTCAGAGGGATGACAGCCAGATGCTACAGGCAGGTTTTCAGAACAGGAACATACTCCACCCAAATCACATCTAACGGACCTCAGTGCTGTAGTGGCTGGGGTTTCCAAGCCCTTTGGGCTACTGAGTATGGAAGAAAACGGTGCTGCTGTCTGCAGCCTGGGTGACTCTGATCAGTCTACCTCTCTTCTGCTTTCCACCACCCTGCACAGCCCATCGCTCCCTACCCTCCTTTTCTAAACACTCCTTTCCCTTGCCTATTTTCTCAGTATTTGTAGGAACTGTTTTTTTTTATTCCTATTAAACTGTAAACCACCTCCATCCCTGAGCACTCTCTCTCTCTTGGTCTTCACTGTGCTCCAAACTGGACATGCCACACTCCCAGTAAAAGCTGCTAAGTTTGGCATATCTGGCCCCTTGGCTTAAATACACATCACCACTTAGAGGGTGCCCCGCCCCATGTTAGTCACTCCACTTTTCCTTCATCACCCGTTTCACTCCGATTGCTCTCTTCAATAACAAAATCCCAGACTGGGGATGAGGTTCAGTGGTGTTAGAAGGCTGAATGTGATCCACAGCACTACAAACAAATCTGCATCAGAGCAGGGCACTGCATCCCAGCTTGCTCTCTGCCATCGCTAACACCTGGATGTGGGTATAACACACAGGTACTTAAGTATTTCTTAGCTAAACTGTTAATGCTCTAAGCATCAATCTCTCTTAGATGACAGCAAATTTGCGAAGAACCAGTGACCAGCTCTAGTAAGTTATGCACACACAAGCAAGCTTAGTCCACATTTAAATTCCACTTTGTAGCTGGGCTTAGGGAAATATGCTACAATCCCAGACAGCCTGGTATTCAGAGGAAGTTCTAGTAAAACATGCTACTGCGTCAGTCTCCAACAACAAAGATTAAAAAGATTTCACTTTGCTAACGTAATTATACAACCAATATAACCTTCCACAGACAGAGCTCAACTAACAACAGAGAACACTCAGCTGGCCAAGGCTTAAGGCAGCCTGTACTCTTCACCTTGGCCAACTTCATTATTCCGTTAAGGATCAGACACCCAGTACTTGTGATGCAAAGATAATGGGTTTTTCCCGAAATCTTTTCTTTGGTATTGGAGACCCTGAAGGAATAACCTGTACACTATTCCTCTATATTTTAAAACACTAAGAAAGAAGGTAGACAAATAATGAAATAATCATAGATCCCCAAACAGGATATTTCCAGGACTGGTGTGCAGTCAACAATGATGACATACAAAAGTGTGTACACTGGGCATGTACACACCTGGAATGAGGCCACTTTGTCCTCCAAAGGACTTCTGGAACAGGTGGAAATCTATTTGTTAGATAGGTTGAAAATGTATTGTCAGACTAGTGGAGATTGGGCACAGCATCAAGACAGTGTAGCACTGGACTGCATGCTGTGAACGCCGTGTCAGGCACCTATACCAAGTCACAGACAGTATCCCTCAGTGTCCCTTGGGCACTGTAATGCTTGCCACTTTCAAATTTTATCATACAGTCAGCTTTTGTACTAACAGAGTTGTTTTGAAACTGATGGGAAATGTTTGAGTGTATGAAATTAAGTTCATTTTTGGAACGCTACTAGCTTTTTTTATATTCAAAAGTAAGTCTTTGTTTTCCTTTAAGCAGGTAACATGGGCAGACTTCTACTGGGATATCTGCAGCACCACCCTTTTGGTCTTAAAGCCTGACTTGTTGGACATCCACCCCAAGCTGGCGTCATTGCGCAAGAAAGTTCAAGCTATCCCTGCCATTGCTGCCTGGATACAAAAGAGGCCACAAACCAAACTCTGATCCAGGCCCCAGCACCAGACAAGAGCAACATCAGTCTGCCAGATGAGCCACACACTTCTTTTTTTTTTTTTTTTTTTTTTTTTTTTTTTTGGTTTTTCGAGACAGGGTTTCTCTGTGGCTTTGGAGGCTGTCCTGGAACTCACTCTGTAGACCAGGCTGGCCTCGAACTCACAGAGATCCGCCTGCCTCTGCCTCCCGAGTGCTGGGATTAAAGGCGTGCGCCACCAACGCCCGGCCGAGCCACACACTTCTAACTACACCAGGACTCTCTATTTTGTATTCTGCTTGCTCTGATCCCTTTTGTTGTTTTGTTTTTCTTTCTGTAGGCATTTAGTTTACAGTATCTACTTTTTCCAGAATTCTACACTTCAGTAATTAGAAAGAAATAGTTCACAATACATATTGCTATTCATTGATTATCATTGGATGCTTTACTAGCTTCCTGGCTAGTGTGTCATTTACCACAGTATCTTACCTATAAGAAATCCTATGAAATATGGATTTTGCAGATAGACCTTCAATCAACAAATCATTACACTAAAAACCAATGCCCACAATGCTCAGTGGCCAACCATGTCACTGGCCACCACTGTACATGTTATTTGGGTATATGCCAAAGAGTGTAGGTTGCTTTCCAAAAATATACATCTGTCTGACATGTCACACATTGGGTACTAAAAAAGGGAACTCATAAGATTAAAAGACAGCCACAGAAAATGATATTGGAGCTTACTCAAATTCAGCAGAAGTTACAGAAAAAGCTGACTGTGAATTCAGCACTGCCACAATTCAGGAGGCTGTAGACAAAGGGGCTTCAGCTCACTGACATAGAAAGTTAGATGACCCAGAGACAAGGGACAGTGGGTTACAATAAACATTTTCGGCAAAAAACAAATCAGTGGAACAAGAAGACAGTCCACAGACTGAGAAAGTGATAAAGAACTGCTGAAAATAGAGTCACAAAAACAAAGAAATGCCAGCCAAGAAGTGACACTTAATGAAGATAAACGGTGGCCATGAGCATGCAAAGAGGTGCCAAAATAATGGCATCTGGGAATTATTAGTAGCAGTGCAGACCAGAAATAGTAAGAATCTCAGACAGAAAAAACCAAAACCAAAACCACTGGAGAGGCAGTGAAGTAACAGGAACTAGAACTGACTGATGACGAAACGCAAAAGATGGCAAGATAAAACCTTGTTTCTTACAAAACAAAAGGCCCAATAATAGTCTCACACTGTGGTGTTCACCCAAATGAGCTCAACGCATGTGTATACCAAGCTTGAACATGCATTTTGGGTGCTGCTTTACATATAGCTGTCAGAACTTAAAATCTCTTCAGAAGGAAATAAAGAAATAAACCTTAATACACATACAGACCAGGGATGGTTACTACTCAGGGCTAATAAGCCATGAACAGAACATGGGTGAGCCATTACACAGCCAAACAAAAGGAGCCCACACAAAAAGAATCCAACTACAGATACGATTGGGAAAAGCCAAATGATTAGGACAGCAGAAGAGGAGTGGCTGCCCAGGTCAGTGGTGACTTGGTCAAGAGTGGTGGCAGGTACATATCCTTATTTATAAACTGACTCAGAATGCAGAACACCAAGTCAGCTGTAAAGCAAACCGTGGCCAAAAGGAGAGCAGATGTTGAAACCAGAGAGACTGTAGGTGTGAGGACAGGAGTGTATGAGACCGCTCCTTAGTGTTGCTGTGAACATGAGTCTGGAAAACAAATAAAAATCCAAAAATCTGTGTTAGTTTTTTTATCACTGACAAACTGTGACAGATACAAATAGCTTACAGGGAAGATTTATGTGGCTCCATCTCAGACTTCAGCCCAATGGTGGGCTGGCTTCATTAGGTTGGATCTGTGGAGAGGCAAAGTATCATAGTGGGCAGTGTATAACAAAATAACTGTTTATTTACCTCATGGTGGCTGGGAAGCAAAGAGACAAAGAGTGGAAAGCAATTCTCTACACAATCCTCTGCTGGCCAATGAGATGGCTCCATGGATAAAGGCACTTTTGGCCAAACCTGAAGACCAGAGATCAATCCCTGACACCCACATAATGGAAGCAAAAGACTGACTGACTTCTCCCTATTGTCCTCTGACCTCCCCCTCAAGCACTGTGGCATGTGCACACACACAATACATTTCATTAAGCAAAGTTCAATATTTTTTTCTTAAAAGAACCTTCTAATTAGCAATATTTAAATTATCCCTGACAACTGTTTAGTTTGTATTGAGACAGGGTCTCATTCGGTATCTCAAGACTGGCTAGAATGTACTATCTGGCCCAAGCTGCCTTTAAACTCATTGTAATCTTCCTGTTTCTTTGTTGTCATGCCGCAATTCCTATCTTAAACTATATTGTTCAAATGCAGACTTTAGCTTTACATCTTGGCATCAGAAACATTATTTACTTGGTATGTTGCAGAAACACTAATTACTTGGAAATACTAATGAAGCAGGTGGTTTTATGCTCTGTATGAAGTTTAAAGGAGAGAGGGGAAAAGAGAGACAATGGGGGGAGAGGAGGAGGAGGAGGAGGCGGAGGAGGAAGAGGAGGAGGAGGAGGAGGAGAAAGGAGGAGGAGGAGGAAGAGGAGGAGGAGGAGGAGGAGGAAAAGAACTAGTATAGAGAGAAACAAAGAGAGAAAGAGAGAAAGAGAGAAAGAAAGAAGCAAAGAAAGAAAGGAAATGCATGTCCAGCTAGGTGTGTTCTTTCCTTAGAACAGTGTTCTGCTTTGCCTGGGGGTGGGGTAAAAAAGAATCTTGTATGTTACCACACATTATATACAAACACAAAATGCATTTCCTAAGAACCTTGATCTTTTGGATAAAGTTTTGTTAATGGGAGCTGCTAATAGAACAAAAAGAATCTCATTTCATAGGTAAACATCATGTGATTGAAACAATCTACAGAGGAAAATCTTTAAGGAACTATTCAAACAATGCTTTTAAATGAAGGTGGTAGTGCTTCCTACACATGTATAGACATTTCTTTCCACATCTCATTGTACTAAATCCAGTCTTTAATGGAAACAGAATTTAGGAGAAGTAATGAATACAACACTTAGCAAAAAATGGAAACTCAAAATAAGATAGTCTTACATTATTTCTATGATTCATAGTTCAAGTGTAAAATGTAACCACAGCATGTTCTATAGGGCAATATTTAACCATTTTATAGGAAGCCACAGAAGGTAGATCTTCTGATCCACCCATCCTCACTCTGTAACTCCTATTGGCAATGGTTACCTGATCTAGACCCATAAGGCACATTTATTATCCATGTGTGACTTACACTAAGGAAATAAAAACTACTTCATACTGGTCATTGGGGGCACACACCTTTAATCCCAGCATTCCAGAGACAGAGGTCAAACCCAGCCTGGTCTATAGTGAGTTCCAGAACAGGCAGAGCTACACAGAGAAACTCTTGTCTAGAAACAAAACACAAACAAACAAAACACCTCCCTCAGTTGCTTGTGGTATTAACAACTTATGGCTTTTGTATGCTTTCTGTTAAGAACGGGATGTGATGTTTAATGACATCAGCCCAATGCAGAATTCTAAGTAACAAATGCCAATTTATTGCCAGGCCAATATCTCGAACACAGTATAATCCCATTTCTGTCCAATATTATATACTTCTATGGGGAAGGATTGAAAGAGGGTTACAAACTATTACAAAGGGTGTGAAATACAACTTAATGATCACAAATACTTTTATTAAACCCGAGACATAATAGAGTATTACAGGGAGAATCCAACTACATTTCAATAGAAGAAATATGGATATAACAATACAACAAAAGAGCCTACTGTGGGAGACACAGTCATACAGAAAAGTTAGGAACTATTCACTGTGGCTTTTTTAAGAGGTACGTTTCCCAACAACTTGCTAAATGGCCTGAATACCGTGATCAGAAGGAGGTAGCACTGACACCTGCAGGTTCCTGGTAGCCCTGTAGTGCTGATATATAATCTGATATATTCATAGAGTATCAAGATTATATCCACGGAGTCAAAAGTTCAGAGTCTCGGACACCTAAAAACAAAGCACTGTATGATGACATCAACTTTCTATCAGCTTACCTAGCACCTTAGCAGGCAGGACATCTTAAAAAGTATGAGCTCCAATAATCAACAAATCTCTCATTTATAAATAAGTTTATTTATAATGATATTTACATAATAAAAACAACACATAAAGCTCACAAGTTGTACAAAGAATCTTGTATGTAATAAAAACAGCAATATAGACTGACAGGCAAAATTTAAAAGAATGGTTAATAAAGACTGAAAGAACAGACAATTTTACTTCTAAATTCCACTTTGTCACCCACATTGAACTGGAATTGAATAATGGCTTCTCTTCAGGTGGTCTTGTATTGGAAATCCTGGGAACTGATAAATTATATTTTGGTAAGAATTTAAAGTTAATGACCTATTTCCATGCAGTACCTAATGCTGCCTTAGCATGAAGTCACATCCAGTCTCCTTTAAAGTGAAGTAACTTTCAGTTAATCTGTTCTGCTGGTCTAGAAAAATGTCACCAGCATTTGCTAGTCTGTGTATGAGAGTAGGAAATATGGGAGAGAACAGGAGCAGAAGGGACTGGGCAACAGTTAAGAGAAGCAAAAGCGGGAGAGGAAGCTGATGGTTACACACACCAGTAGGCAGAGTTAATGAACACAGAAGTGCAGTAAGCAAATGAAAGAAGGAATCGTGCCACAGAGCAGGAGAAAGACTTAAGTTACTACTCACTGGAAAACAACTTAGTGCCTAGCCAAACAAATGTGTTTTAACAGGAGGAAGACGACCTGGGGATGTTAGTAGATGGAATGCCACCTTTTGATTCAGGATGAGTTCTTACTGACATTGGTGAACATCTGCTTCAAATAGCAATAAAATGAAGACTAAACAACCTACATTGCTGCATTCTTTAACATAATAAAAAACTCAAATGAGACAGGCAAAAACAAGACATAAGCATTGTCAAATAAGGCACATGTAAATCTACACACATTATCCAGTGAAAGACAATATATATATATAATATATATATATTTGGAGGTAGAAATAATTACAAAAATACTGACATTTCTAAAGCATTAGCATATTTGTTACAAACAATCACCAACTAATCCCCATTCAGAAAACTGCTTTGTAAAATGATGATTCAACATCTTCAGGATGTGAATATCTGGAGAATCCAGTTAGTGGCAAAAGTTGTCCATACTATGAGAAATGCAACATGAAATTATAAAAAGTTACAAATGCTCATAAACCCCATGGTCACTGTGAGTGAATGTCCTTGAGTGCACCAAGTTGCTATTTCCGCATCAATCAGGAATTCTGAGTTCTCCTTTCACAGGCCCATTGACGTTTTCAGTAATGTGGCTATATCTGCTGGCATACTTCCTTCATCACCTGCAGGTCAGAAAATGATGAGAAATGTTATGCACAAGTATCTGGGCTTCTACAACACATTTTCTCTCAACTTTTCTTTTTCTACCTATAACTCATTCCCAGTTTGTTTCGGTATCATCTCATTAACAACCTGCCTTAACATATGCAACTGAGTTACTAATTTCTTAGTTACTGGCAATGGCATAGCAATATTTCTGATGCATACAGCCATAAACTGCAAATGACTTACGAGTTACACAGCTGAAATGAAGCACAATCAATCACTTCTCTCACAAAAACCTGAGACACAATCAAAACGACAAATTGGTAAAAGACACAAATACAGCCAGATGCTGGTGGTGCACACCTTTAATCCCAGCACTCGGGAGTCTCTGTGTGTTCAAGACCAGCCTGGTCTACCGAGTGAGTTCCAGGACAGGCTCCAAAACAATACAGAAAAACCCTGTCTCAAAATAACCAAAAAAAAAAAAAAAAAAAAAAAAAAAGACACAAATACACAGGACACAGAACACTGGACAAACCCTAAGGAGTTCCTGGACCCCCTTCCCCCAAGATTATTCAACAGACCTGAAAACAGGTCCATGGCACCAAGTCAGTCGGCACTTGCCCTAAACTAGCTGGTGCTACACTAAAGAAATATCAGAAGAGACAAGAGTAAATAGAGTCTTTTCAGTGTAAAGATACTACAGATAGAACAAAATAAAACTTAAAGCATTAACTTTAGTAGGACCCTAGTTTCAAAAGAAGGTAACTATAAATATTACAAGGATGTTCGAGAGAGAGAGATGGCTCAGCATTTAAGAGCTGTTCTTCCAAAGGACCTGCGTTCAATATCAAGCACCCACATGATGACTTACAACCATTTACAACTACAGTTCCAGAGGATTTGATGGCCTTGGTGTAAACTGCACAAATGTAGCATACATGAAGGCAAAATACCCACACACTGGTAACAAAATAAATAAAGCTCATTTTAAAAAATATATTAAAAGGGCAGGGTGTTGGTGGTACATGCAGAAGCAGGCAGATCTCTGTGAGTTCAAGTTCAGCCTAGTCTACAAGAGCTAGTTCCAGGACAGTCTCCAAAGCCACAGAGAACCCTGTGTCGAATTCCCCCCCCCCTGCCCCCCCCAAAAAACATATTAAAAGGACAGCTGGTAAAAATCTGAGGAAAGGTGACCATATCTGAAAACCACTTTTTTTGCAACAACTCAGAAAATCTTTATGTAAAATCCTGAGTGTGAACTGTCATGCTTGTAACTGACTTCATACTGATGCTGGGGGGAGAGACAGTAAAAACACTGCACCCAT